TATTATTATTATTATTATTATTATTATTATTGTTATTATAATCAAAACTATAACAAAATTCTCGAATGTGATTGGCTATCAGCAGCCTGATTTGAGTCGGACAACAAACTGGACAGACAAATTGGACAGTGTACACGTCGTGCTTGTAATTGGACAGTAAGCGTCATTTTTTGCGCACTGTTGCGGTGCACTTTGTTGAGTAAACTGCTGTGTTTTTCAGCATTCATAACAACATTTAATCGTTTAGCGCTCAATTGATGGTTTGTTCATTTCTTGAATTTTGTCATAGTTTTGATTAATTGGTAACAGGACATCGCGTCGTCCAATTCAGTCTGTAATCATACTTGTGATTAACAAACCGGATTAAATTGTGTTGATATCAACAGCACAGTGCTGTAAAAATAATTTGAACTTGTCAAGGGCTGATTTTCTAGAACACGGTAATTTGGACAATTCAAATCGCAAGAAGTTTCTTACCAAACTTCCATTTCTACTACACAATTAGATTATGAGCTCTCAATTTCTATCGCGTGATAGTTGACCAGGGGGCAGCCCAAGTCAACTTTCACACATAGAAATTGAGAGCTCATAATCAGATTGTTTTAGTATAAATCTAGTAGTCGTTCAAAACTTTATCTAACTTCTCTTCAGACACTTTGAAAATGCCAAGAAGTGGCTGTCATTTTGTTAACAAGGGCACACTGCCACGCTACTCACAGAATAGATAGTGAGTACAGGGTCCGAAATTGTGCTTTCCTGGTCGCCAATGTGACTAAAAAGTTTGCACTGGCGACCAGAATTTCACAACTGGTCATCAGCAGGCGATTAACTATTTCATGCCACGATAATTATACAAACAATAACTTTGATTTTCAGCCAAATCAATTAACATAACATTCAAAGCCGCCTGCCAATTGGTCACTTACTTTTTACCTCTCTGCTGCTTTTGAAGTATAAAACCGATTTTCCTGTTATTATAAATCTACCAAAACGTTTCACAGCTACGATCAGTGCGAAGCTTCGTTGCCATGTTTTTTCAGCGGTTTCCATAACATACATATTGCGGGGCGCAAGAGGCCACATGCGTTCCTTCGCCATGAATATTTATCCAGGCAAGGTGGTGTCCAAAGATGTTCTGAAATCTTCCCATAATTTATTACCAAGTGGGGACAGGACATCCGCAAAGAAATTAGTTGAAGATTTAAATATTCTCTGGCTGTCAAAAGGTGGAAATTTAGATCTGTCAAAGTGGCCAAAAGATGATTTCAGCACTAGTTTGATTCTTGATGACATCGATTGCAAATATTTTGCCGGCAAGCCTGTGGTGACCAAAAAGTTTGGTTTGTGTTTCGCTGTGAAGGAAAAATTTTATTGACACTTTTTGGTGACCACATTTTTCCTTATGGAAACTGAAAAAAAATTTCAGTTGCCAGTTGGCGCCTGCCTAAAAAAGTTAATTTCGGACCCTGGAGTAGGGCGGCCAATCAGAGAATGGCATTTGTGATAGAACGCTAGTAGATTTATACTAATATATATTAGGACTCCACCTTATAACCATCCTTCTCAAATGGGCACTTATTTTTGGCCAAAACAAAAGCTCAGTATATATAATATTTAGGTGAAATCCCCTTTGGAATGACTAATTACTAAAAACATCTATGAAAAAATCTTCCAACTTTTTTTTTATTTTTAACATTTCACCATAGTGAGATCATGAGTTATACATGCCAGGGAACAGACCTGCCAACTCTCACAATTCTGCCATGAGTCTCATGATTCTTTTATCTTTTCTCCCAACCTCCCTCCCAATCTCATGATTTTGGGAGAAAAATTCTGAAAAGATATCTTACCTTGATGAATAAAATGTTAAAACTAGGAGTAATAGTAGATAAGGAAGTGTGTCCGATATGTTGTGTGGCTGCAGTCCGATGGGGAATGGTAATTATTGCTGCTTTGATAGGCATGAGGTCTTGACTTCTACAGTGTAAATTATAAGTAAAAATCTTTGGGATATGACCTAATTAATTGACTCTTAGAACCATAGAATCAGTAAATTTATGTTGTGACCACAAATCTAGCCATTTGCCATCAGCGAGCTACATAACTCCATGCATGTAAGATTTAACCTTGTTTGAACCAACCATGGCCGTTTTCTGTAGGTGAGCTACACATCTTGGAGCTAGGTTTTGGAGGCCACTCCAAAAAGCTTACTTTTTATGTCTTCGCCTATAGCAAGTCAACATTCAGCTTTTCCACTCACCGAAGTTCCAGCCTCTGAAGTGCCCACTACCCTGAAGAAATTCATCTCGAAAGAAGTGACTTTGGAGGCCGCCAGTTTGAAACTGTCTTGGCAGCCAGGCCGTGTTTATATAATGTCATTCTATCTGACTCGAAATTGGTGGGAAGGAGAAAAGCCTGCAACTGACTTGGCATCCTTCACAAGGTCAGCAAAATCTATTTTTTCCAAGCAATTATCCACTTCACAATCTTCAATACTACCATTTTGGAGTTAAAAGCATGTTTGGCTCAAAATAATATGGCTCAAGAGCAGCCATATCCCAGAGTGGTAGTTAAAAGACTTGTCGGAAGCCATTTGGACAAAAACTCTCGCACAGAATGACATCACGAAACCGCGTTAGCTTGGCTTGCCTTTTGGAGACTCTTGAAAAACCTTATGGCTGATTTGTGAGAGTTGGAAAATTGAAAGAGCAGAATCTTTTTTTGTATTATGTCATTGTGTAACAAGTATACCAGTCAAAATTGAAGTTAACAGAAACTTCTATAGAATTCTGCATTCTAATAGCATGATTCCCAGACAGTCTAACATTGCTCACCCAGACTCTCTCCTCTCTCCTATAATTTACCCAGTTGAATAGGAGGGAGTCTGCACAAGCAACCTTGGACTGTCTGAGAATCAGGCTAGCATGCTGACAAATTTATTCAAACTGAAAAAGTAACAATAATATGTTATTTCATAAAGTGGGCTGAGACAGTGCTGGATACGTACATGTAAACGTAAGCGTTGATGTCAAAAAAAAAATCTTGGTTTCCTTTCATGTAAGACATTTCACGTTTACACAGATGTGGTAAGATACCCCTGTGTTTTCCCAATAAATTTTATTTGAACAAATCATCAGGATTTACCGGCACAGCTTTCACTTCCCCTTGAAAAGTTGAAAAAGAGACAAATTCAAATTTTCTTAATTTGAGAGCCTTACCTTCCTCAGTAGCTTTTTAAAATCCTCAGGCCCAAAGAAATTGGGATTATCGTCATCAAACAGCGGATTCCAATACTCCCTTTCCTTCAGCCCATTCAAGTGATCGTTCATTTGTCGTCGTATCATTCGTTGTCTTTCCACTTCCTGTCGTTTTAGTTCATCTAGCTTGGTCCTTACATCATGTTTTACAAGGTCTATGTCATCGGCCACTCGCCCAGTTCTTAGTTCTTCGTCAGAAGCGTTTAGTAATCTTTTGACGTAGTCATCATCATTTTCTAAAATTTCAATCACTTGTTTCAGATATCTAGCATACTCTGGATCGCCTTTCCCTTCCGATTCGTTGTCTGCCTTCTTTCTGTCTTTCCGAACTGGAGGAGCCACGCAAAGAACAGCGAACGCGATCACAAAGCAACAAAGAAGGCCGTACTTCTGCCACATTTCGGAAAGTTTGGCCCAGAAATCAAACGTATCTTTGGTTCTTGTACCTTTTCTACGGAGATCGGACGACTCTACAAACACTTCTAGACACAAAAACTCAATTCAACTGGGGATAACCGCTTCTTTCTGAGACGTGGCACAATAAGCGTCCGGTGGTGCAGTCACATGGACAGCTGCTCAAACTAACTTCGGTCCTAGTCCTCTCTCACCCAATGTCCACCCCGAGCTATTTAACATTGTAATATTTTAAAAAAATTCACTATATTGTAATAAATGGGCTTGGATGACTTCATATACCGAATGAATGTTATAAACGAAATGAGTTACATCAGGGTGTAACAAAAGTTTCTTGCAGACCGCTTTTTGATCGCTAAACAATTACACCTACACCACGTTTCTAATTTGGATGGTGACCGACTGCTGACCAAAGAGCCTGAAGATTCCGGAGAATTTGGTCTCGGGTCGGTCCCCAGGGGCCTCCGAGTGTTCCCCGTGCAGTACTGGGATTCAGTATTCCGTCTAGCTACTCCCCTTCCTTGCGTCTCTCCATTTAACTTCATCAATTCAACGTATGCGAGGGTTCACCAGTTTCCTAATTTCGTCAAAATAGCAAAAAAGTCTGTTTGGTCTCCGTGTTGCCTGTGATGTCCTAGAAGCAGTCAGGGGAAGCAGTACGAAGAGACTAGAAGGAAGGCGTGACAAATACCGACAATAATTTATTAGTGCTCGCCAGCCAATCAGGTATGTTATGTTCTTCAGATGTTAAAATATTTTTGAAGGTGTGTCTTCTCGCACAATAATTTACTGGCTTGCAGAGCTGAACTTCAGATTGCTCACAAGTGAAGCCTAGCCATGTCTGGTCTCGTGAAAGCCAAGCATTATGACTGGAAAGACAGCAATTTGTCCTTGTTTGGCTCCGACCTTGAGAAAAACGTAAGAGGCAGTAATAAATTCAGCTAGTAGTTACTCGATGTTGTTGTGCCCTGGACCTCGACAGTGGTCAGCATGTGTCTGTTGCTTTTGTTTCTCTGCTCAATTTCCTTTATTACTTGCTGTTAAACAGCTGAAGAGAGAATCTGCTGAAACAGAAAAGGCTTGGCAAGGAGCTGGAGAGAAAGTTGGTGTGCAAATTTGGCGAATCGTCAAGTTCAAGGTACGTGCAGAACGGTATTACAAAATAAGCATAAGCTTAAATACCTTTAAACTATATTTAAATCAAAGTTATGTTGAATTTAAGATAACAACCTCTTTTTT